GGGAGAAGAGAACACGTCAGTACTTTGAAAACGTTGGAAAATGAACCAATTCCCCCCCTCCCTCCAAAACTGAGACCAAAAAGCACTAGAAGTACCAATCTCAGAATTGCAAGTCATAAAGACATTTTCTCTCCCTCTTTCCCCTACCTCAGCCTGACACAGAAAACCTGTAGCATTCATCTCTTCCTCAGAAATGGAGCTGAAACTTCACAAACTCCACACCCATGTGGAAAGCAAACAGATGAAACGTGCCGTGACAACACATCTATGCCTTATCAGGCCCTTTATAAAACATTTACAGTCATTTATGCATCCAGAAATCTGAACTTAGAAAAGTCTACACTAACTGATCGATTTAATTTAGATTCTGCTGTCCCCATCAAAGACCTTCTAAGACCCTCAAACACTGGTGATTCAGCCTTATTTTACAAATCAAACATGCATTAAGGAAACAAAACCACAAAGCTTCTACAAGAGTCAACAATAAGCTTGAACATGTTTCCTGGGACAGGGTTACCTCAGGTACACTTGTCAACATTGGCTTATTGAACATCAGATCATACTAAATCTGAAATGCAGGGTTACATGATCATAAACCCATTGAAACACCAACATACATCAAGTCTAGTTCTGTATTACGAGGGAGAGGAGAGAGAAAACATGTTTTGATGTTCTCTTGCAGTCTTCAGAAACAGGAGACTAGCTTGACTAAAGATAGAAACCACCTGAAAGACAGGGAAATTTTAGGATGGGGAATTCTATTTGAAAGCTGGCAACTGAATGCTGTTTTGCCTGATCAAAAATAAGAATTAGGAGTAAACCTTGAATCACAGGCCACAACTCAAAGACACCATGAACCACCTGAAAGCTAATTGGTATGGTAAGGCAAAAGAGGGAAAAGAGGAAAAAGATGAAAAAGTAGAAGGCCTTAGGCTCTGTTGCAAATAGTGTCTGAGTTTCCTGAGCAAAACGCATAAATACCGCCATAATTGGCCAAAGGACCAAGAAAAAAAAATAAATATGCTGTGCTTTAAGACTGTTTTCATATTCTAGGACAAATGAGGAGGAACAGCCACTACTCACCAAGTCCTCAGGCATGGAACACTGGTCTGAGCCCTCAGTCTGAAAGAAAAGTGAATGGTATCAGAGCTATTCTTAAGCTGTACAACAAAAATTGAATATAATACAAAGTAATTTGTCTATGGCATAGCTCTTTAAACTTAAAAAACAAGCCAAAAATGTGTTAGTGTTAGCCTTCTGTAGCAGAGACGATTATGTTAGTAAAAATAAATAGCAGAGAAATGCATAGTTAAAAACCACAACACACCATAAAGTAAAAACACCCCAGAAAATGTTTCTCATTTGTTAAGTTAGTTTCTGCTGATCAGATATTAAAATATACATTCTATTTCAAGAAGTGGAGTGGAACACTGAAACAAACAAATTAAGAAAAAAACCAACAGAATTTTGCAGAAAAATTCTGGAAATATCCCACATTTTCCAGAAAGACTCTTCCAGTCCACTATGAAAGAAAGTTTCTCGTGTATTTTAAGAGTATCTTCATCACAAAGTTTCAAGATTAAATGCTGACCCTTCTGATTTTCATATGGTCAGTATTTTCATGTTATGTTTTTAACTATATAGACTCTATGGCAGTATAAGGACTCTTCCAAATTTCAGGAGTTATCTTCATGCCAAAGCTGAAAGTTTTGCTGTAAAGCCCCATGACAGACTTGCTAGAAATTAATAAAAGCTCATTGAGCTTTCCAGATGCTTTCCTCAATAACAAAGTATGGCCGAACAAAACCAAAATAAACATTTTGGTGTATGTCTATTTTGTACATGCTGATAACCTTTCCATAGCTTCAGAATGAAGGATTTCACAATTGGCTGGGCAAAGACATTCCAGATACTTCTGTATTGATGTTTCCAGTCGGGAAACAAGAAGTCCAAACAGCATGTAGGCCTGTCACTGTGCAGCTCTCCAGGCCATCAGACAATCATTTTGACATTAGAAACATTAAGCAGCAAACAAGAAGAAGTTAATGTCTGCAAACAAGAAATACCAAGTTGTTGTTAATTTCAATATGAGCAAAACTCTTCTGTGTTACCTTGGTGGAATTGTTCAGTTTCATACCACATCTGTAAGTTTTAGCTATTTGTGGTGTCAGCTGGATTTCCTTTGTCAGCTGACGCCACTTACCACAGTCTGGCTTTGTGCACTGCACCTACAAGTCAAAAAACAAACATGTTTTTACTTGTTGCTGTGTGATTACAGATAAGATTAATGAAGCATAACTAACCAATTAGAAAGCAGGGAGATGTGAAGAACTTGTCAAATATAATAGTTGAATTCATTCTCATGTAATCCTCAGACATCTGGTATACAGAAACCCTGTGCCCATCTCCTGTAAGACTGAATTTCTCCACAGAACCTAACTTCAAAATCAATTCAACACCCCGTTACTATGGTCTTAGTGGGTTTTGCAAGCATTACTGCAAAAACATATTGTTCACCACTTCAAAACCAACAACAAAACAAAACCACCACCACTAACAATAAACTTCCTTCCATTCCAGTCTCTCTTCTTTTGCTCTCTTTACCAGGGAAATACAAAATCTATTTTGGAAGTCTTTCACATACTTGCCTTTTCCCTGCCTTTCCCTTGCATGCTGCCTTTTCCCTGCCAAGTCTTATTCTACCTGAACATCACACATCTTAGCTGCTACTTCACTGAAAAGCAACAGAAGGTTGTTCTTTGTGGGGTGTGGAGAAGGTCTCCAACAATGGAGAAGCTGATCAGAATTATTATCTTGAGCTTTTCCACAGTCCTCTAATACTAGAACCCCCCCCAAAAAACTTAGCTGACCTGCTTCTTAAACATATAATACCAGAAACTCACATCAAAACATCACATTGAAATATACCCTATTAAATAAATCACTCTCCATCTTACCCAGTAAGGAAGCTGTTGATCAGCCATGAAGGCTTTTGGACTGGGCTCACTTTTACCATTACTTGTCCAAATCCTTTTCCAGGCAGTATATTTCTCATAACCATCTTTATGGCTAAGAAGAGAGAGAAAAGAAAACAGCAAGCAGTAGAAAATTGAATATCTAGTTAATTTCAAGCAACAGCAGTTATTCTAAAATTAAACATTTTATACAAGGACAGAGAAATAAGGCTGTAGAGAGTACTGTATTTTTCCTATTAAAAAAGGAGAACGTCATGGTTATTACGATAATAATAAATTGCATCCTGACCGCTATGTCCTCTTGATCATGAGCACACTTCCCAGTAGCTAAGGCCTGGACTGAGTCACAGGTATTGCTGAGCACATAAGCACCCAGAAGTCTTAGTAGAGCTGGCTGGATTCAGCTCTCACTGAAACGGGAAGGAGCTTGGAGCTGAAAGCACTCTGTAAGCCTGACCAGAGTCTTCAGAGTCACTGAACTGCAAGAGTTAAATCTGCTCACTGATTCAACGTTACAGAGAGGCAAGGTCTCCTGAACTCACATTGTAAAGTGAATTTGCTTGATAGAGGAAAATGGATTTACTTAAAACTGTTCTCATCATTTAAAATTCTCTGTTGTTGTTTTAAAGAAGACAAAAGCTTCAGAAAACTGTACACACAAATCAGCCTGCCTGAAGTAACCAGTTTTGTTCACACTGCTATGTTTAGGCTGATGATTAGTCCATACAACACCTGCAGTTTTGGCACCAATATCTAAGCCTCGCTTTGAACAAAGCAAGCACAGAGGACAAGTCTTTGTGTTATGTTTATGTGCATGATGTTTCAACAGTTGTAACGTCTGCCAAATTTTAATAAGCACTGAAAAAGCACAACCTTGACTGGCAAATCTACCTTCGGTAATAGTGGTCAAAACATTCATTGCAGAAGTGTTCCCCACAGGAAAGATGATACCATCTAGACGTATACCCATTTTTAGCACATCTGTAATGCAGGAGACATAGAAATAGTTTTAAGACACATTTAGAAAAAATCTTTCTATTGACAGTAGCACATTCTAGAACATGAACAAAACATTCAAGACAAGCCAGGGCTTTACATTACATTCACGAAGGCTGACTTGCACAAGGCGTTACAGTCATACAAATAACAATAAGATCATTTCAATTGTCTTAAACATTTCCAGTTTCCAAACTAAGCAACACCAGATGCAAAGGAGGCAAAATGCACACAATGTGCAGTTTTATAGTTGGTCTGGCTTCCAGCAACCTCCCACTAACAATGGTCAACTGAGCCTGTCTTTAGTACCCTTTAAGCGGACGTTTCCTGAACATGAAATAGATTTGCTCTTACAATATGTGCTGTGACCCACTAAGCGTTCTACAAATGTATAAGAAGGCAAAGTCCCTCTCCATAGGAACTTACAGTTCCTTTTACTTTGTTCCATTTTGTTCTGATATTAGTGCAAGGGTGGGAGGGATCATTTAAATCAGTATTTTTCTTGTATGTATGATCAGTTGATTCATAAATCATTACAACATCTCGTCCCCAGAACAACTGACAAAACTATAAAGGCAAATCTGAACACAAAACAGATGTTGCCTATTTTTTTCACATGACCGAGTTGGCTGCGATTTTAACCCAACGAGAGAAAACCTTGAGGAAGCAGTTACACATTCTGGATATTTATTCTGTATTACTCTCAGAAAGAAATATCCATTAGCAAAGATTATATTCATCAAAGCAACTGCTCTTCACTTAGAAAACTCTCATTAAACTCAATGAAATGGTTCAAGATAAATGCACAAGGTAAAAAGCACGAGAGAAAAGCAGTAACCTAAGCTACTAACACTGAAATAGCTAGCCATGAAATGATCTCATCTCAAACAAATAATGTTGAAAGTATGTACTTGGGGGGGTGGGAGGGGTGGAAATCAAAATACTAAAATAACAATTCGAAAAGATGACTAAGCAGTATCTATTGTTTCCTAAATAAAAAACATAGCATCACCAATGCTGATCTCTCAGGTGCTCATTTCCCCTACAAGTCTCTTACGCAACTGCCGAAACACCTGGTTTTCCTATGGCAACATCCAGAACACATTGACCTCCTGCCACCAAAGAACAATCCACACAGGTAACTAAATGAAGCACTGAATTATTTTATATCATTGGGAAAAAAATAAAACAAGGGAAGTTTGTCTCAGTTAACCAGGGAGGTAGGCATGCTATATAATTACAGTCTGCCTGCTGCATAATGAGGTCTAATGTGTTGCTTATTATAGATACACCTGGCCAGTATCATGCATTCGGTACCGCCAGGGTCAGAATGCAAAAGGACTTGTGCAAGTACACAGAAAGCTGAGAACAAAGAGTTCAAATAAGTACAACTGTCTCCCAAGACCTAAAATTTCAAGGTCAGAATCTCACCTCGGACTGCAAAGCGTGCCAACAAAACAGTGATAAAGACTTTCTGCAGTAAATAACGGTTTCATTTTCTATCTTGAAAGCAAGTTTAGCTTCCTCAGATTACACTAATATGCTCTCAGTTTCACAGAAGCAAGGCGTGTTCCAGAAGACACCATTAATAACATAAATAAGCGTATTCTAAAGATATTCTATACCTGAATTAGCAACTTGCACAGTAGAAAGGTATTCACAACAGGAATAACTTGTGACACTTTACTGGCATCTTAAGACTCCTATTAGTACCTTTCGATTCTCCCTCTACATTTAGAAATGAAGGGATTTTGCAGAATATAGTTAGGATCCTAAACTTCAACTGCAAGTTTAGAGAAGTCCATGGAAAATGCAAATAAAAAGAAACAAACCTTTCAGCTGCACTGGCAAAGCAAACCGGACATGTTGCAGTGCATCCAGCTTTTTCACATTTTCTGTATTTCTTCTCTGATGCTTCATCATCATCATCTGCTGCTTCAGCTGCTTTCTTCTTCACCTAATAAAGAATAGCTGAAATCTGACCAGAAATGACACAAATGCATCTTCTACAAAATGGCATTCAAACAGTTTTGCAGCTTGTGGGTAGCATCAAATGGTTAAAATGGTACTAATGAAAATTTTTGTACCCATTGTGAAATAGCTGCAGCATGAAACAGCTGTCAAAGTAGGTCAGTTTTTCTAAAAAAAAAAAAAAAAACAAAAAAAACCCAAAACCAACAGTAAGGCTGGAAATATCATTTAAAGCTAAAAATGCCTTGCCTTAGTCTAACTGATGCCACTGAAGAAACTATAAGCAAAGCTTTCAGTTTAAATCATATTTTAAGCTCCATCACATGCTAATGAGTCAAGCTTCATGCATTCATTCTATTTCTCCTTCAGAAAAAGAAATTCTCTTCTTCACATACTTACTGATACTAATTAGTGGCAACCTTATCTGCATCTCAAATAAAATATTAGGATAGGCTTGGGGCTTTTTTTGGACTCCAGATACAAAGCTGTATACCAAATGTCTCCTCTGGGCCGCAAAGGTACTGTGTATTATGTTGGTTTACGCCTCTGTCTGGATGGGCAGACAGCTTTGTCTGGATGGGCAGACATCTGTGATTGTATTTTTAACACATCAAGTATTTACAGGTTATATCGAGCATTTATCTTTTCTGAACATTGTTCACAAATCAGACACTTTGCCTACTTATTCATGGAATTAACTAAATCTCCCTCTCTCTGGCTAAATACTCTTAAGTCCTAACTTACCAACAATGAAGCCCACTTTCTTTATAAATGTCAACAGAAAATAAAAAACACCAGAGTACAAACCCAGTGTTTTTAAATTATTATAAATACCTGTCTTCCAGAACTCCTCAGAGGAAGGTTGTCTGGAGACTGGTCTGAAGAACATGCCTTTTTTTTCGTTCGTACCCTTCCAGTTGACATTGTATTATTGGATCTGCAAAAAAAGGTAGGCAGTAGTTAAGAAAAAAAATTAAATTGCTTGACCTTGTAGAGCTGTCTAATCACCTGGGCAGTACAGCCACTCATAATACTACTTTTGTCAGAGTTACCTAATGTCCTGGTTTCAGCTGGGATAGAGTTAACTGTCTTCCCAGTAGCTGGTACAGTGCTGTGTTTTGAGTTCAGTATGTGAAGAATGTTGATAACACTGATGTTTTCAGTTGTTGCTCAGTAGTGTTTAGACTAGAGTCAAGGATTTTTCAGCTTCTCATGCCCAGCCAGGGCACCTGACCCAAACTGGCCAACAGGGTATTCCATACCATGGGACGTCCCATTTAGAATAGGAACTGGAGGGAGTGGGGGCAGGGATTCGCCGCTCGGGGTCTGGCTGGGTGTCGGTCGGCGGGTGGTGAGCAATTGCCCTGCGCATCATTTGTACATTTCAATCCTTTTATTACTACTGTTGGCATTTTATTAGTGCTATCATTATCATTATTAGTTTCTTCTTTTCTGTTCTACTGAACCGTTCTTATCTCAACCCACGAGTTTTACTTCTTTTCCTGATTTTCTCCCCCATCCCACTGGGTGGGGGGGAGTGAGTGAGCGGCTGCGTGGTGCTTAGTTGCTGGCTGGGGTTAAACCACGACACCTAGGTAAGAATCTGTTTAGCTTGACTATCAATTCAGGAGGAAATGAGAGAATGAGGCATTACGGGAAAGGAACAATACTACTATTTTAAACTAAGTTCGGAGTTAAGATTAGATCCTTGAGTACATCTTGACAGGCTGTTCCAGATCAGCATACCCTGGATTTCAATAATCTGATTTGCATTACGTGAAGACCTGGACTGGAATTTGGCTTGGCAAAGTGAACAGATATCAGCTCATAATGCAACCATTGAAATACCACTCTGAGTAACGCTCGTCCTGCTAACTACTGATTTATTGGTAGCAAGAGATTTGCACTATAAAGCACCTTTCCAAGCAGCGTACTGAAGAGATGTTTAATACCAGGTGAACAACCCGTTCCAAGACTTGCACACCCTCCTATGAAAGTACATCAGAATTTAAAGTCTAAACTGCAGTTGCACTGCAATTATAGGTGATCAGAATATTACAGACTTTGTTGTTAAGCATACTACAGGAGAGAAGAAAAGGTTTATGCCATGAGAGAGCTCTATAGCTGTCCTTGACTATATCGGTGGGAACATGGAAAAGACCACAGTTTATCATGTAGGCTGGAAAGCATGGAGTGTAAGAAAGTATGCCACAGAAATATGAAAGCATATTTAAAATGTTATTATCAAAGGCATTCTTTTCACAGGGAGTAAAACACAAATAAAGAGAGCCTAGAGGAAGAATTAAATCTAAACGTGCTCCACCACACACAGAAAGGAAGTGGAAATAAAACCCTTATACAACAGCACTGCATCATGAATGTTATCCTGTTGTAGTAGGGATCAGTTTATAATTTTTTTTTTTTTTAATATTTGAGTCTTCTCAATTATCTCTGTTCCAGGCTGCATCTTCCTTGTTCAAGCTGTGGGACATGGTAGCAGTAGCTTTGTTCAGGAATTCTGCTAAAAGTAAAGGTAACAGGAAGAGAGAATGGACATTTTTACAAAGTTTCAAACAAAGCTGATGCAAATCAAGTAAACTGGTGCTTTATTCTCCTCTAAAGATAGAAGAAATTGATTTGGGAGGGGAAGGGAAGTCACATGATATCCACGTAAGTGAAAAACTAGTCAGACAACCCAATACAAAAAATAACTTTCTTTTTCGTATGCGCCCCCCCAATTATAACTAATTAGAGAGAGGGAAAAAATAATTAAGTCAGTCTTTATTACCTAAAAAACAAAAGCATTACTACACCATAACTTACCACTGCATAGGGGTGGATAAGGTTGCAGAGTAGAGAAAAGAAAAGCAACCAATTTCGTTTACATGAGATTTCCCTAACTACTGTGTAACCCCCCAGGAAACGGTGGCTTTTTTCCCCAGGAGCTTTCCTTCTGGATCAGAGACACAACAGTATCTCTTTCTATCACCTTAACTTCTGACGCCAGATAATCATTGTGGTGTTGCCCTTACAGGCGGAGGCTACGAACTACCTTGGTAGTGAGCAAGGCACCGGGCGACTCATTTTGGTGACTACCAGGTGATCAGAGTCTGCTGCTGCTGCAAGGCCCTTTATCCGTGAAGGTAAAAGGACACGCATCTGTTCCATTGCGTGTACGGGGTTAGAAAATAAAAGGCGGCAGTTATCATTCACTGAGAAGGTTGGTGAAAATATTTAAGATTCAGAGAGGCCTCCTGTTTTGAAAGGCAGAGGCCAGGCATACAGAATCATAAACATTTTTGCTGTAAGCGCTACGGGAGGGGGAAGAGGGAGGTGGGGAGAAAGAGAAAGAAAAATAGATCGGCTTATGCATGTAGCTGTAAGCAAGGCCATTGCTTTCAGTTGTATGCCACTTTGTCCCCACTTCCCCGCCCCAAACAAGCAACACCCTCCCAAAACCCCACAAATTTTTAAAGAACAAGCAAACATCACTTACTTTACTAAGCTTTATATGACTCCGCATCCTATAAACATTATCTTACTGGCAGAGAAAACAAGCCCTTTAAAAGGGGGGAGAGAGAGATGGCTAACACACTGTCACATTCTATAACATTTCATCCGTCTGTAACGCGTGGCCTACACGGGAAAGCTTTGTGAGGTTTACCTGCGCAGTTGACAGCAAGTTTGTCTTGGGGGGGGGAGAATTAAAAAAAAAAGAAAGAAACCACACGCACACACCGACACAGAGAAAGAAGGAAACGAGCGCAGCCTGACAAACAAGGGGAGGTGGGACCACGAAGTGCTCCCAGCTTTAAAACTCGCCCCCCCCCAGCCGGCCCAGGCTGACAGCCGCCCGCCCCCACCCCGGCCCCGGGCCGGCGCTCGGCAGCGCCGCGGCCGTGACAGCTGGCGGCCGGCAGTGGGGTCCCCGGAGCTTTGGGGGGGTTTCCCCGGGGGAAGGCTGTGTCGTGTGTGTGTGTGTGTGTGTGTCCCTGGAGGGGATGTCACCGGAGGGAGGTTCCCCCGGGGCGGAGGCCCCTGGCACTCACCTCGGGGCCGGGTCACTCGGGGACCGGAGACCACATTCACGCGTGTCCGCGCCGCCTCCTGCTAGAGCTGCAGCGGGGGGGGGGGGGGGGAGGGGGGGG